TCCTCTCTTCTTTCGAAAACTCCCCGCAAATCCATGAGTTCTCCAAAGTCGAAAAAGCCCGAATGGGCGAGATCTAATTCTGCAAGAAGGTCGTCCTCAAATAACAAGGCATTCCAGTATACCTTCACACTCAGCTCTCTCCACCGAGTCGGGATCCGATTCGGACTGCCAAACAACAACTACAATTTCATACTCACGCTGGATAGTAAGATCCAAGCTTCCAGGAGCCACACTAGGTAATGACGACGCTGCACCGCAACCACAGTATTTCGTATCATGACCGACAGTAGGAAGCCCCACGCAGCGGCAAAATAAGGAAGTCCCAGCGGTTCACGATCTGGTGACAGAAACAAGATACCGCGACTATGACTGGCACTTCCTAGAGCCAAAACTAGAAGAACAAGACAACTCATGTGTCCTTTCTGATATCTTTGCGCGAGAGCTGATTGACAATATCGATTCCACGTCTAAGGGTTCACGCAGGCGTACCAAGCGTTTCCATAGCTGAAAACTGCCTGAGAATATGTAGATGCATTTTCAAAATAAAAGCCTGAACTTGGAGTAAGCCGCAATAGTTCGCGGGCCACTCCAATTGAAGAAGATGCTGTGGATCATAGGCGAGAGACCAAGTCCCGAATTAGAGGCAAATGGAGGGGATGAAGAGTAGGTAGGCGGACCCGGGGACTGAGCCCAACAGCAGATAATCTTCTGTGGACTGGTAAGCCTCTGGATGACGTTCTCGTTGACGGATCATCGCTACCGAGGTTTGTATCGTTGCTGGTGGCCGGGGAAGTAGCGGACGGGGCTAAATGTGGCTCTTGATTTTGTAAATTCGAATGTAATAAAGTCTCAATTCTGGCCAAATGATCTAGGATGAGTTTGCCGCCAGTGTCGAGTTTGATACCAGGTTCTCGATAGACACATTCCGCATTCAAATCGGAACACATTTGGCACGAACTCCACTACATCGGGTATTGCGTAGCCGGCATGTCTGACACTAGTTGTTGAAGAGTCCTGCTTTGGTCAAATGTGCCAGAGGCGCTTACAGCTATTGTTGTCCGTCTTCTTGGATATTCAACAGCTTCTGCATTAGAGCGCTTTTTCTTGCCGATGGATATGTCGCTAACTGCATAGTCCCCGATGGGGTCTATCGTCGCGTTCTCTGTGAGCAAATTCATTTTTCAAAGCTGGGATTGTGTCTAGTTGTATTTAACGTCGCATTCCACCCAAAGGGGTTGGTCAGCATGACGGGCATCAGACCATACTTGGAGATGAGTATAGACATAAAGAGGGAGAGGGATATCCAAAATAATTGCCCGGAGAATTCAGGGCACAGGTATTGATATATATGCGAGGTCGTCCAATGACAATGTATTCCAGCCTTTCCGAGCTTGTATAACAGTTGGCCCAACTCGGTACGAGGGTGAGTCCGTAGCACATCGGATAGGAAAAATGTAAGCGAATAAAAGCACAAGTAAGCTAGTAGATATAGAATATAATCGGCATTTGCACGAAATATATATCAAGTAATATATGTCAGTACTTTGTACGTTTGACCTACGGAGTACTAGATACTAGATAGTATGTATCGAGTTTGCTGTCACATGTGGTCCACGTGCACCGCGCCCAAACAAACGCGTCGATCTTCTTTCGCATTTGTAGCTGCGCAACCATTTTGGCTCTATCACATACTCCGTTGGCTCAAATCAATTTGTTCGACTATGCCTCGTCCAGCCCCCAAACGAAGTCGTACAGTGGGAAAGAGTCAGCACAAAAAAACCGCGATAGAAGACTCAACGCAGCAAATTGACCCCAATGTCGCCCAATCGCCCGTGCAGCCTGAGCGTGCCTCGGCCTTGGATCTGCGACAGGCGCCATGCAGTCAAACACCCTTGACTAAAAGCCATGAACAAGCGATTGAATCTTCACCTACGGGGGACCGGCCAGGCACCGGCAGTCGACCTGGAACCGGCAGTCGTCCCCCTACAAGATCGCGCGGTTATTCCTCTACGCTATCATTCGCTGGACGCAAAGGTGACACAAACTCCCGGGTTCCTGGAACGCCTGGATTTGATAATTCGGTTCTGAGCAACTTCAGGCGGCGGCCGCGACAGCAAAGCATTCTGCAAATGATGCAAGCAGACGACGATGGCTCTTCCGACCTTGATGATGATGACTTCCTTGGTGGGCTTAGCCCCAATGATGAATCGACACCACTCAATCTCTCTCGGGGAAAGTCACTACTTATCCAGCCAACCGAAAATTCATCCCCGTCACCGGCCGCATCCCCGCTCTCGTCCGGCGGGTCGCGCAAGCGCAAGCGCATGACCCAAGAGATTCAAATACCACAGTCACCTGTGGATATAGTAGAAGATACTCCAACTGCGACACCGGTTCAATACGATGACTCTCGACATGTTATTGGAGACGAACTTCCTGAAAATGAGGACGTCGAACCTGAAGACGAGGAATTTGAAGATCAGGAGGCTGAGATTGAAAGAGTCGAGGCTACGCCACAATCCCAAAGATTTCCAGAAATATTGAGCCAGACTATGTTACCACCGGCCAGTAGTCCTGCAGGCTCCGTTGCACCTGGCGACTCCACACCGCGACCTGTTCAGACGAAAAAGTCCAAAGCCCCGAGTTATCTATCGACAGCAAACCTACAAGACAAGCTTTTACCACGTCGCCGGCACAGACTCCGTGCCACCAATAATTACAGTGACGAAAGTGATGATCAGCATGATGCCGCATCTGGCGACGAGGACGAGCTGAACTATCCATCACAAAGATTATCTGGGCGACGGGCAGGAAAAAGCAAGCTCAAACCATTAGCCGATGCTCGCAATCCGAAGCGGAAGGAGATTAAAGAGAAGAAAATTAAGGACAAATCGTGTCCCAAACAACCAGCTACGTATTCACGTTCTCAAGCGAGTGGCGTCAACAAAGAAAACGAAGCGCTTCTATCATCCCCATCATCTTCTCCACTGTCATCACCACCTGAGTCTGACATATCTGATTTCGAATCCACAGAATCAGAGGCCACTCGTTGCGTGAGCGATGAGTTGCGCGCGGCAGTCAAGAAGTTTGCGGAGGTGGACCAATGGGAGATGGAGTTTGAAGATGTATCTGCTTCAGAGAGCTAGTCCTAGAGGGATTGGATGAAGAGTCCGAATAATATAATGTATGATCTCCACGGATGTGAATGTGTTGGTCTTTTTTTTCCTTTTCCCTTTGACAGCGGCAGCCCTGAAGTAGCCGCATAATTTCTAAGCCCCGCAATGTAACCTCGTCTGCTTGTAAATAACAGCTGGCAGCTTTGTCTCCCTCTCTCTATCTCTCTTCTTCTTCTTCATCACTTAAACTATTCACTCGACATGACTACCGTGGATACCATTCTCGCTGCCAAGTATCCGGCTAAGGCCCATGCTCTTCGTGTCGCTGAGTCTCTTCAGGCCCGGCATGGCGGGGCCGGAGTTATCTACCTCGAGGCTCAAAAAACTCGATTGATCGAGGATAGCGATGAGGATATGCCATTCAGGTAATGCAGCATTTCTGTAGGATCTGGACTGACACTAATCCCGGTCTAGGCAACGTCGTCCTTTCTTCTATCTCACTGGATGTCTTTTGCCCAATGCCGCCGTGGTATACGATGCCGTCGGAGATGAATTGACTCTGTTTATTCCACCGATCAACCCAGAGTCGGTTATTTGGTCCGGTCTTCCCCTGTCTCTCGATGAGGCTGCCAAGGTGTACGATGTGGACCGCGTTCTGTTCACAACCGATATGAATTCGACTTTGGCGTCGATCGCCTCAAACCACAATGGACAAACTGCTGTTTTTGCAATCGCCGAACAGGTGTCGGAGGGAATAAGCTTCCATGGCTTCGCTGAAACAAACACTACCAGCCTGAAGACCGCCATCGAGGAGACTCGTGTCATCAAGGATGCGTACGAGGTTGCGCTTTTACGAAAGGCAAACGATATCTCGACCAAAGCGCACATTGCTGCTATTCAGGCCTCCAAAACCGCGACTAACGAGCGCGAGATTGAGGCTGCCATTATCGGTGCTTGTATTGCCAATGGGTGTCGCGAGCAGTCTTACCACCCTATCGTTGCTGGAGGCGAGGGGGGTGCTACTCTTCACTATGTCAGAAACGATGTTGACCTGGTCGACCCCATCACTAAGCGCCGGAAGAATAATGTTCTCATCGATGCTGGCGGCGAATACCAAACTTACTGCGCCGATATCACGCGAGTTGTTCCTCTAAATGGAAGATTTGCGCCCGAGACCCGTCAGATTTACGAGATTGTCCTCCAGATGCAGACGGAATGTATTGCGATGCTCAAGGAAGGTGTGTGCTGGGATGACGTTCACGCGCTGGCACATCGCATTGCTATCCGTGGCTTATTAAAGCTGGGTATCCTGCGCGGATCCGAGGACGAATTGTTCGACAAGCGTGTCAGTGTGGCCTTCTTCCCGCATGGCCTCGGTCACTACCTGGGAATGGACACCCATGATACCGGTGGTAACCCCAACTATGAGGACAAGGATACCATGTTCCGCTACCTGCGTGTCCGCGCTAACCTGCCTGCTGGCTCTGTGGTCACCGTTGAGCCCGGTGTAAGTGACACCCCATGAGAACCCTCTTACTCAACCCCCAATACTTATTATTTACCAGATCTATTTCTGTCGCTTCATTATCGATCCCGTCTTAAAGGCCCCCGAGACCGGTAAGTACATCGATACCGAGGTCTTAGAGCGGTATTGGAGTGTGGGAGGAGTGCGCATCGAAGACAACATCCACATCACCAAGGACGGTTCTGAGAATCTGACCACGGCCCCGAAACTCATTGAGGAGGTGGAGAGCCTGGCCTTATAAAAAGCAGGCCCTACGGCCATTGACAAGATTTGCCCCTGAACTGTTCAAGAAGGTTCATACCAAATTAATAAAAAGACTTCGTTGATCCTCGGATATGTGATTGTACAACTGGCAATAACTAGATGTCTCTTCTGCGCTTGCGCGCACTTCCCTTGATCTCATCCACCGATCCGTTCTTCAACTTGCGATCCAGAATGATAGTCAAAACATCAAAGGAAAACTCCGGCACTTCAATGCACAGCTTCTTAAAGTTGTCCCCAACCTCCTGCCGCAGCAAGTGGCTTTGGCTCGCCCAGTAAGTCGCCACAGGCTTCCGAATGGTCGTGTCTGTTGCTGGTGTATGAGTATATACGTAACGGGCATATGAAAGCTCCGCATCAGGTGAGCTCTGGACCTTATGGATCTTGCCATGGGCAATGCGCTGAAGTTTTGGCAGACCTAGCTTCTCTGCCAGTGTGTAGATGCGCGCATGGCGCAGCAACTCGTCGCCGCTTTTGTCTTCAACTGTTTCCCCGGGTGTTTCCGTTTGAACCACGGTGTAATCACGCGTATATTGGAACTGGAGGAAGCAACCGAAGGCATCAACGTCCTCTTCTGACAGGTTGATGCGTCGCTATTGATCATAACCAATTAGTATAATAAATATGAAAATATACCTGGAACGGATTTTGACTAAAGAACCCACCGGGCCTGACGCTTCGAATTTTCTAAGCAACTCGGCTAGTAGTGGCGCTTCCATCAAGAGGGATTGATGAGCTGTCATAACGGTCTCATCGTCGCCTTTCCCAACGATAATCTCAACGATAGGTGAAGTCAGGAAGCTGCAAGTTGTTGTGAGCTGGCGAGTAATGATTGGGACAATGAAAGGTGATGCCATCTTGAAAAAGTAATTGTGTCGCAAATGTTTAGGAAAAGAATGCTCACTCAAGGAAGTTGCAGCCCGCGTTCTTTTTTGCCGGAGCAGGTAGTTCTGGCTCTGCCTGCACATCTGAAAGTGTCGAATCTTCTTGCACATGTTCGGGTTCAGGTTGGCTTGTGTCCTGTGTTTCTCCCATCTCTACCTCGGTGGAATTGTGGTTCGCAGTCGCATTGGGTTCGGGTTGGGTTGATTCGGGGGTTTCGCCAGGGACACGAACTTGGGGCGTTTGTGATTTATCCATGATTCAATTGAATAAGGGCCAATGGATGGTAACATGGTAAGGAATGGTAATAAGAAGAAGAGAGAGACCAAACAACTCCAGGGGTAGAGCTAAGGCGGAGAAGCATGACAAGTCGATAGAAGCTCAGCTATATAATTGCATGAATGTCTACTCTTTCGACTTGATACCCGACCTTCCTTGTTACTTTTATTTTGCTTTCGAATATAATTTTCCTCTTCCCTGGATACTCCAATCTAGGAACCACATCTCGACAGAACGTCATTTGACGCAGTTATCGCATTTGCCGCATTTGCCGCGCTAAGGGGAAAGAAAAACAGAGGCCGCCATTCTCTAAGACCTGAGATTTGAAACTATCTACGGAGTATATGATGCATAATCATGGACTTGGAAGAACCAGCATCGACCGAGACTGAGCAAGCTGGCCAATACTTGCTCACCGCAGAGGATGCCGAGCTTTTACAGGAGATTCTCAAGCACAATCTCTCACATCAGTCGGGTGAGAAACGGAAATTCAGGTTCCAAGACCTGAAATTTACCCGACAACTGAGTACTTTTCAAAATTTGGGAACCACTGCCCCCCAGTTCCATGGATTTTTTGTTCTCTTCTGGATGGGGGTGACCTTGATGTTGTTCAGGCTTGCTGCCAACAATTGGAGAACTTACGGCAGCATATGGGGCAAGAATGAGATTATCCATCTTATGATGGATAAAGATGTCATGGTCCTTGGACTGACTGACTTGCTCCTTTGTTGGTCTACGGGGTTTTGTCTGATACTACAACGAGTGATACTCAGGGGATACATTCGCTGGAACGGTCTCGGCTGGCTTATTCAGAATGTCAGTCTTAAAATCTGCCCTTGACGCTGTTACATTGCTGACCTGTGCAGATCTGGCAAACTACATACCTTGGAGTCGTTATATGGTGGACATACCATCGCGATTGGCCGTGGACACACACGGTCTTTATCGTATTACACTGCTTGGCTATGCTGATGAAGCAACACAGCTATGCAGCTTACAATGGCTATTGTATGTCAATTTGTGTCCGGTTGTGAGCAGGAGCTAATGAGGGCAGTATCGGAAATGTATCGCAAACGAGATATGCTGAAAGCAAGTCTTGGCCAAACCAAAGCCAAAGAAAGAGGACATGCTACTTCTACCAAGACGGGCCACTCTTCTGCAATTGATACACAAGTCAATGCTGAGATCATAGACCTCAAGAGAAAAGACTTTAGTCAACGCTCTTCTGACCTACAGAACTATTCTCGATCTCATGAAACCGACCAGCTTTTATCTCTTATTAGAACGATAGAGACCGGTGTGCCACTTGAACCTAACCAGGTGAAATCGCTCAGAGAACTGCTCGAGCAGGAGATCAAGGTCTTATCTGAGGGATTAAAGGGCCGGTGCTCCCTAACCAACAATCACTATCCTCAAAACTTGACAATAAGAAATATCTGCGACTTCATGGCATTGCCCACATTGGTTTATGAGCTCGAATACCCGCGGACCAACAAAATTGATTGGCTCTATGTCGCAGAGAAAACCCTCGCCACATTCGGCGTTATTGTAGTTATGATTGCAGTCTCTCAATCGTGGATATACCCGGTGGTGATGGACACCGTGCGTATGAAAGCGGAGGGAATGACCGCGCAGCAGAGACTTCGGGAATTCCCCTGGGTTCTCGGTGACTTGCTTTTTCCGTTCATGATGGAGTATCTACTGGCATTCTACGTGATCTGGGAATGTGTTGTAAGTCTCTTTGACTGTTTGCTACCTTGATTTATTGCTAAGTTCATCTAGCTTAATGCTGTGGCCGAGATCACCATGTTTGCAGATCGAGGGTTCTATTCCGATTGGTGGAACTCGGTCTCGTGGGATCAGTTCGCGCGAGATTGGAACCGTCCTGTCCATAACTTTTTATTTCGGCATGTATACCATGGCTCCATCAGCGAATACCGTTTGTCGCGGGTATCTGCCAGTCTCATCACTTTTCTCTTATCTGCATGTGTACATGAGCTTCTCATGCTGTGCATATTCCGGCGGCTCCGAGGTTACCTACTAATCCTCCAGATGTCTCAGCTACCACTTGTTGCGCTAAGCCGGACTCGCCTGATGAGAGGTCGCCGTTTATTGGGCAATGTCCTCTTTTGGCTGGGTATCTTTACAGGGCCAAGTCTGTTATGCAGCTTGTACTTGATCATTTGATTTGATACAGTACCTGAATATCCGTTGATGGTTACTGCTTCAATGTAAACAACAAATCCATATAACTATAGATTGCGCCTACATATTGATTACTACATGGTTTTTATACCGCCTCCGATTGGACGGGCACGGACTCTATATCCCACCCTGATATATATGTATCTTTCTCTGTACTCTTCCTCTTCCTGATATTCTTCTTGTACGCACACTCTCCCGCGCGCGCGTACCGCTATTTCGATTGTATCTTAATGGAATCTAATTCACCGGCTGCTTGTTGCGTCATTTCCATACTTCTGATTCTCTGGAAATAGACTACAGTTTCGCTGATGGTAGTAGTTGAGGTCTACATTTCACACCCCAAGCGTTCCACAAGCGTTCCATCCTGTTGCTCACCGCACCGCTTCATTAACGCGCAGCTCATTGCAAACCAATTAGCGGCAAATGGCCATCTGGGCGTCATGCCAGACCTATTCCACGGTGACCCAGAGCCGTTGAACAATCGCCCCGCTAGCTTCGATCTGGTCGGCTGGCTAATAGGCCTTCTAGGTCATCTGCCAGACCGTGTAGAACGTGTGGCTCAAGGGATACCAAGGGAAACACAGTCCAACATGGGCTACGATCGGGTCGATGCTGTCGGCTATTGCTTCGGAGTATGTTGATGTTTCGTATATCTTGCTGCTACCCGAGTTGACAAATATAGACAAAATACGCCGTGCGACTGTTCCAGCCAGGTCCCTGCGATGTTGCCTGTGTCGCACACACTAGTTTCGTCGACGCAGAGGAATTACAAGCAATCCAAGGCCCGCTGTCCATTGCTGCAGCTGGTAATTAACTCGGGGGTGAATTCGTTTGCAAGACTTTGCTCAAGATTATGGTGCTTATACTGCCTTCGTGCTGTTTTGTGTTATGTTTTACGCCGTCAAAATCTGTACTCCTTTCCACCCCGTTTCTCGCAGTATACCAGCCAGCTATACGGAGTACCAGGTCAGGTAGGGCTTGTATCCGGTTTCGGGTACGAGCCGCGGATCTTATACTTCTTTTATTAACTTCGTTGAATCAACTGTCATATAGAATCTCTGATTGTTTCTGTCACTTGAGCGGCATTATACCCTTGAGATTTGCAATTTTATGACCACTAGTCGGAGTCGGCGTGGAATTTTTGGTAGCTTTGGTCATGCTTATCTTTTAGATTAATTCATTCATATCTAAGTAAAGCATCATTAAAAGATTTAAAGGACGGCCTGGGACGGCCGACAATCTTGATCCGGTTATAGCGCCGGGACTAAATATTTTCTCAATTTTTCTGGCCCCAAAGTGCCATGAATCTGAGGATATCCTGGCCAAGACTGGCCAGCCGTACCAGATCAACTTGTTCGGTGGCGTTGAGCACGAATTTGCTGTTTGCGCAGATATCACCAAGCTAACAATTCGCTTTGCCAAACAGTCTGACTTTTTTGTAGGCAGTTGCATGGTTTGATCAGTACCTTTAATCAATCGGAGAGGGAAATATCTAGCATGATAACAATAAAACTTCAATTGAGATCCACACTTGGTTAGGTTGGCCTTGAGAAGCGACATATTTACATGTATTTGAGGAAACAAAGTAAAAGGTATGCAATGCCATAAAAATTGCGATTGCCCAAAGTGAGCTGTTGTATTCCTTACATCTTCTCGTGGGTAGCCATAAGAGAACCTATCATCTGTTAGAGACTTAAATTTCCGCCATACCGACGAAAGTGTTAACTTACCAATAAACGTAGTGACCAAACGAGACCGAACTTGACAGATGTCCTCAGGAACCAACCAGATGGTGGCACCCATCTTCCTGGCGATACTGATAGAAAGCTTAGCGTTTGCGTATGCCTCTTCGTCGGTCCGACCAGGCGTGACCAGATCGTAATCCACATAGCTGCTCTTCATGCCGTTGAGTACATCAAGGAGGAAGATTCCAGATCCAATAGATTTGTCTTTGAAGCTGCGTATTGTGGAAGACTTGCCGCCACTGCTAGACATGTCATTGGCCCAGCGGATCATCTCAGTATCGGTTATTTCACGTTTGCCCAGGCGCTGGGCTAGCGCAGAGAGTGTGTTGGTAATATCACGGCGCATCAGCTGCCACACCAATCCGAGAGTGAGTGTTCGTTGGCCATCAGTGATATCAGCGCCCTGAACGCCGACGAGAGAGAAACCATTATGTTTCCCAAGCTCGATCGAATAATTGGTATTTTCTACAGCCTTGAACCGCATCAGTTCACCACCAGACGCTGGTGGCTTGTTGACATGTCTCCAGTTCACGCTTCCAGGGATGACCTTGTCGTATGCCTGCAACAAAACAGAGCCATCGCGTAGGTCATCAAATAGCGAGTTGACCGCCGGCTGCACATCCAATGAATTCAACCACAGAGTGAAGACTCTGGCCTCTCGCTCACCCTCAGCGTCGAAGTCTTCAACCTCAAGCTTCTCCTCCTCGGTAATCGGGTCCAGTCCAGGGTGGGTGTTGAACAGATTAGCAACAAAGGCAAGGTTTAGCTTGGGATTTCCGGCGACCAATGAGGTAGGGGTCAGGAACTTGCGGCAATCAAGGGAATCAGCGTTCTGGAGGACCTGCTCAGCCCGCTCAAGCAAGTCTCGAGTCTGGAGAGGGGCACGCGAGCAGATATCGGGTGCCAATTGGTTGAGGAGAACGGTATAGTTCTCGCCATCCTTGACATCGGTAGAAAAGTTCGTCACCCTACATCGGTTAGCCATATGTCTTTATTTGTGTCCCCCTCGGGCGGTACATACCGTCTGTC